TGGTTCTTTAAATATAAAGTTTATAAATAACATAATTTATTTGAAATATAATATTTTTTAGGATAATACATGTCTTTACTGTCACTTTTGATCAATTTAATGTGTCCTTACAGAATACAAGTATTATTTTTATTTTTTTAATCTTACCTACCCTACACTTTTGAATGTATCACAGTTTCCACAACAACAACAAAAAATACATTTTCAACGTTTATAATAATCATAAATGTTTCTTTAGCATCAAATCATCATATTAGAATGATTTCTGAAGGATCATGTGACACTGAAGACTGGAGTAATGATGCTGAAAATACAACTTTTGACCACAGGAATAAATTACAGATTACTATACATTCACATACAAAACAGTTATTTTAAATTATTATAATATTTCACAATATTACTGTTTTTACTGCATTTTTGACCAAATAAATGCAGCCTTGGTGAGCAGAAGAGACTTCCCAAACTTTTGAACGGTAAAAAAAACCTTATGGTAATAGTATTTCAATAGTACATTTTGGAAGGCCTACTCTTTTGCATTCATCTAAGAGATTGCAGCTGCATTATTTAGACATTATGTGGTTCACTGAATGCTCTGAACATCAGGCTGAACATGTTTCTCAGCACTAATAATGCATTGTCAAACATCACACTTTGAAGGAATGTTACTTTTGATTTTTGACAAAGTGATCTGTTCCTCAATGTTTGTAGAGCTCAGATTGTCATGATCCGGCGAGTGTGAGCGGGAAGCTAGAATATGTGTGCCGAGTGAAATCAATGTTTGTGAACGTCTACTTTCTGGTTACCACAATTCTTCAAAATATCTTCTTTTGTGTTCAGCAGAAGAAAGAAACTCATACAGGTTTGAACAACTTTATAGTGAGTGGGTGATGATAAAGTTTTCATTTTAGGGTGAACAAACCCTTTAATCTACATATTCAAAGAAAATCGTGCTTTTTTAACAAAAACACATTCCTATTCAGTCTGGTACAATATTTTATGTTTGTGCAGTTGGAATATTGGATCTGGTGATTGGGATTTTGAAACAAACCAAGCCAGAGTTTGTACAGTAAATGTTTGAGATATTACCAAAAAAATAAATAAAAAGTAGCCATGCACAGTTTATCCAAATTAAGCTTGGTTTATTCTCGCCGCGTCCGCACGAGTGTGAAGAAGGTGTGCGCGGCAAAAATTGCGTCACCGCGGTGTGGGCGGCCTTGCGCGAGACCCCATTTCGTGTGGCAGTGTGCATATAGACAGTAAAAGAAATGGACACAGCGACCCCATAAACTTCAACGGAGAAAAGTGAAGTCAATTAGAAGCACTGACTTCCTGATGGCCGAGCGACTGCGCAGGCTCACACTGAGCTGGACGACGCAGATGTGACGTGAGCAACCTGACTGACAGCTGTACGTCTTCTAGTAGCGGTGCCAAGAGGAATCTGAATCATTCCCTTCCGAATCTTGCAGAGCCGGAGAGCGTGAGTAGAGCTGTCCATGAGCAGCAGGAGCAACTTTATGACTCTCTATGGGCTTCTCCCTCAACTTTATTCCTCCATGTCCCCCCGATTGCGCGCGAGCTTCTCCTCCTGTCTATATGGTAATTTCTCTTCTGTGCGACAGAGAGTCGCGTGTTATGATGCAATCGTTAGCCTATTTTTACAAAAACTGCTTCTACGGGCCATAACGTAAGATACAAAGTAATGGAGCCTTTTATACATTGTCGTGTTTCTTTAGAAATAAATAAGGGACAAATGGAGTCTTTAAACGCCTCAGATGTAAAGTTATTCGCTGTCAAAGTGACGCAAAAATGAATGGGAGTCGATGGAATGCTAACAGTCGGTGAAGGCTTGCTAGCCGATGGCGGCCCCCGGGGAGGCTTCAGTTTCCGGCTGGTGGATTACCCCCTTGGGTGTGCACAGCGTTTTTTTATAACTTTCCGCGCGGCTCCGCATCCGCAGACGCACGACTTCGAGCCGAATCTGGCCGGGCATGTTCCTTTCCCACTCTACAGATAAAGCGTTGTTGAAAATCCGGTTCGCGTACCCCGAAGTGATAAAATAAAATTCTGTATCAAATTTATAGGCAAGACAAGTAGTTTGTTTAGGCATGGTTTGTAGGGAAATTACAAACCTGCGCACACATATTCAAACGAATTTAACTATAGAATCAATTTTTAATGCGCATGTGAACGCCATCAGGTCACAGGTTCCCGTTTAAAGTCTGTTTAGAGAGAACGTCGTCGTCTTAGTGGCCCCTAATGTAATAATAACAAATGATCATTTTGCTGGAAGTGAATCAATCAAAACCAACTTTAGCCGGAAATAACATTATTCAAAAATCGCTATAAAGCCAAAACAATCTCTGTTACCGTAAATTGTATGTTTATCTCTGTAAAGCTGCTTTGAAACAATCTCCATTGTTAAAAGCGCTATATAAATGAAGATGACTTGACTTGACGTCTCACTGCACCGGCACCCAGTTTGTGCTAGAATAGCACTAAAATAGTGCTAAAATAGTTGCTTATATTTACAAAATGAGCCTACAATAGCAGACATAATCCCTTTAAAGGCACACTATGCAAGAATTGTACCTTAATATAACAGCTTCAAAGTCATTTCGGTGGTAAACAAACTCATAGTAGGGCGAATCATCCTGGTAGTGAAGCTTGGGGGGGACGCCGCTTGAAAAACCAGCAATGCAAGTTTGAGAGGAGCGCCCCCGACAAATCTCGCGAAAATCACGACTTGCTTTACGGCAACGACGTCACACACATCAACAACCACATATGAAGCACGAAGACACTTGCGCGCATTTCAGACGTGATACTCGACGATGAAAAAAGGAAAGAAAACGTGGTCGGAAGAGACTAGGAAAAGGAAAAGAGAATCTGACCGCGTGAGGAACCGGAAAAGAGTCCCTGATTCGCCCTCGCTATGTGTGTGCGTGTTGTGTGAGTAAGCGCGGCTGATCAGCGCGGCTGATGAGCTGATCAGCGCCAGCTGTTTTGAATGAGGGTGTCCTATATATTGTTTGTTACCTCGTCCTGTCTTTGTCAGATGGTTGTTGAGGCCACCAGGGTTCTACTCGCCGTGTTCTCCTGCATTCCAGTCCTGTACCCATGCAGTGGTTTCCTGAGATTTTCCCGGAAGAATTTCTACCTGTTCCTGCATCTGTGTCTGCCCACTGCGTCCCTGCGTTGCCGAGCCTGAGTCTTCTTCTGCCTGCTTCCATTTTGACCCACACAAAAATCTACTATTGTGCTCCATAAATTACTGTTTACTCGCAACTGAATCCTTTGACTATTTCCTTCAGAGTTGTGACAGTCGCACTCGGTCGGGCTTTCGCCTTTCACTAGACGGCGCGAGCTAAAAAGCAGCTGAATGCAACCGCAATGCTGATCTGGCGATCTTGTTGATGGACTAGTAAATAAATCTCTTATTTCTAAACTTGTTTGTGTTCTATGTTGTTGCGCTTGCTTGTATGTCATTTTTTTACGATGCTGTTCATTCATCCATTGTTGATAATTAGACCAGTCCAATAATTTCCACATATGTCTAGCTAGCTATTTACGACAGTTCAAGTATTCCACAGCGACTATAGGGGTCGCTGTTTGACAAAAACACAATTTCTGCATAGTATGCCTTTAAATAAAAATAAAGGTCCATGTTTTATAAAAATGTTCACAAAACTAAATTAAAATGTTTAGTGAAATTAGAAAATATGTAAGATATCGTAAATTTACTTGTATTGGCTACGCCCTCATATCCATTTATTTTGTTCTAGGGCTGTAGTCAAGACCACCTTTGTCGAGTCCAAGACCAGGACTAGTCGAGTCCAAGACAAGACCGAGTCCAAAAAGGTTCGAGTCCGAGTCAAGACCGAGTCCAGGACAGGAAAAAAGTCATTAAATGACAATCATTTTGGGTTATTATTTGTTGATCTAAAAGCAAAAACAGTGTCACAACACCCAGGATTTTTAAGTATAGACATTTCCCTTGATATCATATAATCTTCTTATCTAAAGAAAAAAGAATGATGACATATGGTGATACCTCATAATAGCAGTGTTAGAACTGATACAAACACCAACCCACTACTATTACCACTGCTAGGTACTAGTAGCCTACTGAGCATTTGAGCAACTAAATGACAATATAGCTTAACTCCAGTAAAATATATCTGTGGTAATTTCTTCACGTTAAACCGAACTTTTATTTTGACGGGTTTCTGAGTGTATCTGACGATGAAATGCTGAAGATAAACGTGTACTTGAGTATGTGTAGTACACGAACCTGCGGCGCTCACTTGCAGAGACTCGCTGAAAAATCAGATTTGATAGCAGTCTTTAATATTCACAGTGACTAGTCCATATAGCAATTTCATATTATGATCGGCAGTGAATAGACAGATCTGTTATTTCAGCTATGCGCCGGTATTGCAGTAGCAAATAGTAGAAAAGAAATCACACACACGCAGGTCGTACTTGTCAATGACGGGCACTACAATCTGCGGTAATCTGCGGAGGTTTCTGTGGAAGTCTGCGGGTGCATACTACAATAATACGTTACTGGGAACATAAAAAAGACACCTGGACTCGGTCGAGACCAAAAGCCATATTTGGCAAGACCAGTGGCCGAGACCGGGACAAGTCCGAGTCCGAATACCAGCGAGTCCGAGACCATAGAAAACCGGTCTCGAGTCCGGACTCGAGTACTACAGCCCTGTTTTGTTCTAATGTCACGAGTAATAATCTCAAGGTTTACTGCTTTACACGATTCTTTTGTAGTGTGGTTTTGGTGAAGTGTACCACATCACGTGTGTACCTTACTACTTCTCACCGCTGATTCCTGATGGTATAGAGGACAATTACTCCGAGTCGCCTCCTGTCGTTTCACAGAATAGTACAACGGTGAGCGCTTCAGGTATAAATGCCTCGTCCGTTTGGGGAGACTCGCGCAGCGAAAGCATAAACAAGGCTTAACGCTGGTCTCGTCTCACCTCATGCTCCGCAGGTCCCAGCCCCGGATGGCAGTGTCGTTGGCTGTGGCCAGCTGGGTGCTGTTGTGATGTGGGCTCCACTTGCCTGCGGTGAACTTCAGCTGCCCTTTTCCCTCCAGGGTGGCACTGCTCGAGATCTGTGGGAGGAGAATCGATCCATCTCAATACATCTCAATCAATGGCTGCATATTCACCAGCAATCTAGTGCACTGTTTATACTGGGAGTTCAATGCAAACCGTGCCCTCGGCCTCATGGGGAGACCTCGTTGGCTTTCTGGATCGTTCAGGATCTAGGCATTCTCCACAATGAAGAAACTTTGGAGAAAAACTAAAGCATCTGCAACTCATGACAGTCCATTGGTGTTGTTGATGAAGGTGTTTGACTATATCAGAGAATGCAAACTTGATGTTCTGGTTTGTTTCTGATTTATTTATTGGGTTAATATAACTGAGTGCAACAGCTCACGTTTCAGTTTCAGTGCCATTGGCTCTGGAAGTATCATCCATTTTGCTCATTGGCATTTTAAAAAAAGCCTTTCATTTGAAGAAAAAAAGATTTGAAAATCGGACAAAAAGACATAGATATAAGTGAAGGGAAAGAACTACAAGTGTCAGGTGATAAAGTGTTCTTTTAGCACAGTTTGCCATTCTCTGATTGGTGAGTTTTCTTTACAAAATCATTGGTAATGTAGTTTTCACCAGGAATTCCACTATCTAAAAAATAAGTTGAAATAATGCAAACTAATGGCTTTAACAAAAGCATTACCATCAATTAACAACCTTGTTGCTCTCTTTAAAAGTCCGTTTATCAATTCTCCTATATGGAGCAAATGCAACTCAGGCGTGCATGTGGCGACATTTCTGCAAAATTATATTTTAGATAGTCTTTTTTTTTTGCCTTTCGTGACAAAGTGAAAAGTGAAATGTCCAGTGAGTGATGCTAAAGGCGTGTTCAGTTTCATTTGAACGTGAATCTGGCAACATTTTATAATGTTGGTCATTGTGCGTATTGTGGCAGTTAGAGAACGAAATGTCCAGTGAGTGACGCTAAAGGGTTTAAAACTGTATCGCGTTTGAAAGTAATGTACCACCTACTGATGAGCTCTTTTAACGTGATTCGTGTTTCACAGGACTATAATATAATACCATAAACTGACTACTGCAAACCTTCCATACATTTCTGAAAAATAAACTCAAACAAATGCATATCCAATAAGGTCAGCCGCAAAAAAAAAACCCTGTCCACGTCTTTTCAGCGCTAATTTTTCACTGCATGTCTTGAAGGGTTAGTTCACCAAAAATGAAAAAGAAAATTCTGTCATTGACTACTCACCCTTGTGTTGTACAAACCCGCAAGACTTCGTTCATTTTCGGAACACAAATGAAGGCCCTTTTGATGAAATCTGAGAGCTTTCTGTCCCTCCGTTGACAGCTACGCAACTACCACTTTGACTCTTTAAAAAGTTCATAAATATTTGTGAATTTGACAGTCGCAGTTTGACAGACAGTCGCTTTATATGATGAACAGATTGAATTGTCTTTTATTTACATATAAACATTGATCAGCGAACATAAACAGAAACTCAACCGAACATGCTTGACGTGCAAGAACAAACCTCTTGCAGAAGCTCAAACGTGCTGCGTAACACGAGAATGAACCTCATTTGTTCTTGTAGAAGCTCAAATGTGATGCGTAACACGAGAATGAACCTCATTGGTTCTTGCTGAAGCTCAAACGTGATGCGTAACACGAGAATGAACCTCATTGGTTCTTGTAGAAGCTCAAAATTGCTGCGTAACACGAGAATGAACCTCATTTGTTCTGGTAGAAGCTCAAACGTGATGCGTAACACGAGAATGAACCTCATTGGTTCTTGTAGAAGCTCAAACGTGATGCGTAACACGAGAATGAACCTCATTGGTTCTTGCTGAAGCTCAGACGTGATGCGTAACACGAGAATGAACCTCATTGGTTCTTGTAGAAGCTCAAACGTGATGCGTAACACGAGAATGAACCTCATTGGTTCTTGTAGAAGCTCAAACGTGATGCGTAACACGAGAATGAACCTCATTGGTTCTTGCTGAAGCTCAAACGTGATGCGTAACACGAGAATGAACCTCATTGGTTCTTGCAGAAGCTCAAACGTGATGCGTAACACGAGAATGAACCTCATTGGTTCTTGTAGAAGCTCAAACGTGATGCGTAACACGAGAATGAACCTCATTGGTTCTTGTAGAAGCTCAAACGTGATGCGTAACACGAGAATGAACCTCATTGGTTCTTGCTGAAGCTCAAACGTGATGCGTAACACGAGAATGAACCTCATTGGTTCTTGCAGAAGCTCAAACGTGATGCGTAACACGAGAATGAACCTCATTGGTTCTTGTAGAAGCTCAAACGTGATGCGTAACACGAGAATGAACCTCATTGGTTCTTGCTGAAGCTCAAACGTGATGCGTAACACGAGAATGAACCTCATTGGTTCTTGCTGAAGCTCAAACGTGATGCGTAACACGAGAATGAACCTCATTGGTTCTTGCAGAAGCTCAAACGTGCTGCGTAACACGAGAATGAACCTCATTTGTTCTTGCTGAAGCTCAAACGTGATGCGTAACACGAGAATGAACCTCATTGGTTCCTGCTGAAGCTCAAACGTGCTGCGTAACACGAGAATGAACCTCATTGGTTCTTGCAGAAGCTCAAACGTGCTGCGTAACACGAGAATGAACCTCATTTGTTCTTGCAGAAGCTCAAACGTGCTGCGTAACACGAGAATGAACCTCATTGGTTCCTGCTGAAGCTCAAACGTGCTGCGTAACACGAGAATGAACCTCATTGGTTCTTGCTGAAGCTCAAACGTGCTGCGTAACACGAGAATGAACCTCATTGGTTCTTGCTGAAGCTCAAACGTGCTGCGTAACACGAGAATGAACCTCATTGGTTCTTGCTGAAGCTCAAACGTGCTGCGTAACACGAGAATGAACCTCATTGGTTCTTGCTGAAGCTCAAACGTGCTGCGTAACACGAGAATGAACCTCATTTGTTCTTGCTGAAGCTCAAACGTGATGCGTAACACGAGAATGAACCTCATTGGTTCTTGCTGAAGCTCAAACGTGCTGCGTAACACGAGAATGAACCTCATTGGTTCTTGCTGAAGCTCAAACGTGCTGTGTAACACGAGAATGAAGCTCATTGGTTCTTGCTGAAGCTCAAAAGTGATGCGTAGCACGAGAATGAACCTCATTGGTTCTTGCTGAAGCTCAAACGTGCTGCGTAACACGAGAATGAACCTCATTGGTTCTTGCTGAAGCTCAAAAGTGATGCGTAACACGAGAATGAACCTCATTGGTTCTTGCAGAAGCTCAAAAGTGCTGCGTAACACCAGAATGAACCTCATTGGTTCTTGCAGAAGCTCAAAAGTACTGAGTAACACGAGAATGAACCTCATTGGTTCTTGCAGAAGCTCAAAAGTGATGCGTAACACGAGAATGAACCTCATTGGTTCTTGCAGAAGCTCAAAAGTGCTGCGTAACACGAGAATGAACCTCATTGGTTCTTGCAGAAGCTCAAAAATACTGAGTAACACGAGAATGAACCTCATTGGTTCTTGCAGAAGCTCAAAAGTGCTGAGTAACACGAGAATGAACCTCATTGGTTCTTGCAGAAGCTCAAAAGTGCTGAGTAACACGAGAATGAACCTCATTGGTTCTTGCAGAAGCTCAAAAGTGCTGCGTAACACGAGAATGAACCTCATTGGTTCTTGCAGAAGCTCAAAAGTGCTGAGTAACACGAGAATGAACCTCATTGGTTCTTGCTGACGCTCAAAAGTGATGCGTAACACGAGAATGAACCTCATTGGTTCTTGCTGAAGCTCAAAAGTGATGCGTAACACGAGAATGAACCTCATTGGTTCTTGTAGAAGCTCAAAAGTGCTGCGTAACACGAGAATGAAGCTCATTGGTTCTTGTAGAAGCTCAAACGTGATGCGTAACACGAGAATGAACCTCATTGGTTCTTGTAGAAGCTCAAACGTGCTGCGTAACACGAGAATGAAGCTCATTGGTTCTTGTAGAAGCTCAAACGTGATGCGTAACACAAGAATGAACCTCATTGGTTCTTGTAGAAGCTCAAACGTGATGCGTAACACGAGAATGAACCTCATTGGTTCTTGTAGAAGCTCAAACGTGATGCGTAACACGAGAATGAACCTCATTGGTTCTTGCAGAAGCTCAAACGTGCTGCGTAACATGAGAATGAACCTCATTGGTTCTTGTAGAAGCTCAAACGTGCTGCGAAACACGAGAATGAACCTCATTGGTTCTTGTAGAAGCTCAAACGTGCTGCGTAACACGAGAATGAACCTCATTGGTTCTTGCAGAAGCTCAAACGTGCTGCGTAACATGAGAATGAACCTCATTGGTTCTTGTAGAAGCTCAAACGTGCTGCGTAACACGAGAATGAACCTCATTGGTTCTTGCTGAAGCTCAAAAGTGATGCGTAACACGAGAATGAACCTCATTGGTTCTTGCTGAAGCTCAAAAGTGATGCGTAACACAAGAATGAACCTCATTGGTTCTTGCAGAAGCTAAAAAGTGCTGCGTAACACGAGAATGAACCTCATTGGTTCTTGCAGAAGCTCAAAAGTGCTGAGTAACACGAGAATGAACCTCATTGGTTCTTGCAGAAGCTCAAAAGTGCTGAGTAACACGAGAATGAACCTCATTGGTTCTTGCTGAAGCTCAAAAGTGATGCGTAACACGAGAATGAACCTCATTGGTTCTTGCTGAAGCTCAAAAGTGATGCCGTAACACGAGAATGAACCTCATTGGTTCTTGCAGAAGCTCAAAAGTGATGCGTAACACGAGAATGAACCTCATTGGTTACTGCAGAAGCTCAAAAGTGCTGCGTAACACGAGAATGAACCTCATTGGTTCTTGCTGAAGCTCAAAAGTGATGCGTAACACGAGAATGAACCTCATTGGTTCTTGCTGAAGCTCAAAAGTGATGCGTAACACGAGAATGAACCTCATTGGTTCTTGCAGAAGCTCAAAAGTGCTGAGTAACACGAGAATGAACCTCATTGGTTCTTGCAGAAGCTCAAAAGTGCTGCGTAACACGAGAATGAACCTCATTGGT